TCAAAGGCCTGTCTCCGGCGACGGCCAGACAGCTTTTCGTGGCGGCCGTAGCACCGACGATGGACTACGCGTCGAACGTCTGGAGGTACAGGTGTCGAGCAGCGCAGATGAGGGTGATCAACCGAGTGCAGAGGATTGGCGCCCAAGCGATCGTGGGAACCTTCAACACGGTGGCCACGGCGGTCGCTGAAGCGGAGGCAAGCATACAATCGGCGCAAGAGAGGTACGACAGAAAATCAACGACATTCTGGGTACGGCTGCGAAGCCTTCCCAAGACCCATCCGCTTCGACGTCTGCGGGCGGTGGCCTTTAGACGGTTTCCGTCACCCTTCCAGTTGATGGCGGAGGCCTATCGCGACCTACCCCTTGACAAGCTGGAGACTATCGAAGGGTATTCGATCGCTCCTTGGGAACGTCGTATTGATACAGTAGTCGACGACGACACGGTCAAGGCCTCTGAGGCAATCCGGTCTGGATGGGCAGTGAGGATAGCGACAGGGAGCTCAGCAAGGAACGAGGTTGTGGGCTTTGGAACGGCGACGACGCTGCCCGCATCTTTCAGAGGGGGCGGTGGCGTCGTGACGGCCTCGCGTACGTTCGGTCAGAGAACGGAGCAGAACCCGTATGTAGCAGAGCTAGCGGCACTGGCAGAAGCGGTCAAGTCTCTCCCAGAGAGACTCGAGTACCGGGCCATCCACGTCTTCACCCGCAACAAAGCGGCAGTGTTGGTGATGCACAACCCGCGGCAGCAGTCAGGCCAACAAGAGATCCGACAACTATATGCCAGCGTGCAAGCTCTGCAGAGACGAGGCAACAGAGTCACTCTCTTCTGGCTTCCATCATCGATAGAGTCAGACCTGGCGCAAGCGGCCAAAGCAGCAGCAAAGGAAAGTACCCAAGTAAACAAGACACCACAAAAACGGCCGGCCAGAGCCTACTCGACGGCACTTAGGATCGCTTTACAGAGCGTGCGACAGAAGCACGGAGCCTTGCCCGACAACGTAGGAGCATATTCGAAGAAGATCGACATAGCCCTGCCGGGAAACCACACACGCAAGCTGTATGACGGACTGGCCTGGAAAGAAGCCAGCATTCTAGCGCAACTACGCACCGGAATGGCAAGGCTGAACTGGTACCTCTACCAGATCGGCGCAACCGCCGCGGCGCTATGCGCTTGCGGGCAATCTGCAGAAACGGTAGAGCATTTTCTCTTTCGATGCACACAGTGGACGGCACAGCGGACTCGGATGCTCCAACAGACGGAAACGCGGAGAGGAAATCTGTCATACTTCCTGGGAGGAAAGCGCGCGTCCGACCCTAAGGATTGGTCGCCAAGCGTAGACGTTGTCAAAGAGACGATCAAGTTCGCCATGAGCACGGAGAGGCTAGATGCACAGATCAGCCAGCAGCGAAACCACACGCAACTAACATCATCAAATTAACCGGAGACACCCCCACGCATCCTCGTGCCATCGACAGCAGGACTAGCTTCGGCCGCCGACGATAGGACGTCGAACACTTTGAGAAACAACTCCGAGATGGCCTGCTACTAACCCCACGAGCAACCGCAGCATCGACATGCAAAACTAAAAAAGACACATACGGAGACGAACAAGACTTGTATGGGCTTCTGGGAGGCAAGGATATGAACGAATGTGGAGAATATGTAGATAATCATGCGAGCCCTAAACAGCTTAGCCGGGGCGTAATAAACTATGTATGTATGTATCTGTATCCTTCTGGGAGGCAAGGATATGAACGAATGTGGAGAATATGTAGATAATCATGCGAGCCCTAAACAGCTTAGCCGGGGCGTAATAAACTATGTATGTATGTATGTATGTATCTGTATCCGTACACTATCGACAACGAGTGGAGTTGTCATCTTATGAGAGACGGGACGCTCGGAATATTCCCTCCCTTAGAACCCACGCGGTGTCCACGTTATTCCCACTTGTCGCCCACAGTTTCGCCTACCCACGACCCAAAGTTCACAAACCCAAAAACTATTTCCCGATCCTCCCGAGTCTGAGTTACGCAGTAAATGCCAAAGCCAGATGATGAATGAGACTGGCGGTATCATTAATTGATCAACACATCGGCACCGTTCCCAAAAGGTCAGGACTGCCGCCAAAAGTCGCCCTTATGTGTGGTCAAGTAGGCACTCATCACCTTGAGGCGGAAGCCAGTTGCCTCCTTTGTAGCCGCTTGACTGTATCATGAGGACACCATACGGATATTGGTTCTCTGCTGCTGTTAATATGACTTTGAATCGGGGCTGATGGGTCCCAGCCTCCGAGCTTCTGGCAAAGACCAAGGTGACGGCCCACGGAGATTTTCTTACTCCCTGCCATGGCCCGTGTGAGCTGGGGTTCTGCCCATCACGTTACCAAACTCCACTGAATAGCGTACTCCGTACACAGGTAGTCAGGTCTTTCTGCCGAGCACAGCAAGCTTGTCGTTTCCCTCGCCCACACGGACACCGCTGATCGCGTTGATCACGTTGATCCGGACGAACAACCGAGACATGGAGCAGCCGGTGAATATGCGTACGGAGTACAGGCTACAGCTTAAGCCTATGGATATGCAAGCATCGTTGCACACGAGTATCAAGCACCAGAATGAAGCTTAATTCTGACAGACAGACAATGCGACCAGACTTAGGATGAAAGGGGAGTGCAAAACACAAAGAAAATAACACAAGGGAGGTAGGCGACCTAAACCTGGTGTACTTGGCCACAATCCAGCCCCCTTTTCTCTGGGCCGCTCGCTTCGGACCCCATTCGGCTCCAGATGTGATGCCACCGTAGCGGGCAGGACTACCCTATTTTCTTCGCCCATTTGCTTAAGGATGGCGAATTCCGTCTTATCCCTGCATAAAGACAAGGTCCTGGCCAGAGAGCTTCGGACAACTAACCCTCGCAAGGGTAATGAGGCTTCTTGGAGGAGTTTCAGTGCACAAGATCCAACCCTTCCAATCTCCATTGACTTCATCACGATCCAACCCCCCCCCCCTTGATGCGGATACTTCCGTTTGGTATGAGCGCTTGTTGCGGTCATCTACGGATACCTGTTCACGAAAGCAGTCTGTGGATGTTCGGATACTCTGCAGTACTAGACTCTTCGACACATAGAGCCTATCCGTACGGATACTTGAACACAATAGAGGGAATACTCCGCGCGAAATCCATCGTGACGGGACCTGAGACGCCCCTTCTCATGCAGAGAGTTGCAGGCTGCATACGGCCGGCACTCATCAGCCCCAATTTTCCCCTCCATGACTCCAAATTCCCTGGTCGAGCAGTCTCATCGTCCCATGCGCACCATTCGGACGGCCAGCTTTCGACCTCCTTTCCCTACAGACCAATACTTTACATTTTCCGGCCGCTCGTTCACAATCTCTTCCCGCTTCGAAGATTTTTGTTAATCTGAACTCTGTTATCTCCTACCCTCAGACGACGGCACGCACGGCAGTTTCTTAGTAGCTTAGAGCCGCCATAGCCCAATTATCCTTTCATTTGCCCAGGTCCCGTTAGATCCGGACATTTCGTACGTTCGTAAGCAGCTTGTTGATGACTTAGGTCGGCGGTCAGCCCGCCCAAGGCGTCGTCTGGACATGCAAGATCGGTCCACCGCACCACCTTGAAGCAACCCTTCATCTCGTTGGCCGAGTCAATCCAGGCTCTGCTCCATGTATATTGCCCATCTTCGTCCTCCCATCATCCACAAGGGCCTGTCCCAGACAGCGAGCTTGAATTCCACCAATCAAGCTGAAGCGTACATCGTTACCCAGGTCCAATTGAGCTCCTCGGGCCCTGGAACGGAGCACACTTTTGTGTATTACTCTCCGTGATGGAGTTCGGATGGCGAGATCTCGGTTCCTTCCAGAGGTGGTAGTCAGTTCCCGGTTCCCGTCTGGCTTTAAAGTTTCTTTTGTTAAATTCTTCGCGAACCTCTTCTTTCCAAGAATTTCTAAGCTCTTTCTTTGCTAGCCACTCTCTCCTTACACTGCATAGCATTGCCTGTTTCTCTGCCTCTGTCGACCAATTTACTCTTCATCATGCGCTTCGTTTCCATCTTTTCACTCGCAGCTGGGCTGCTGAGTGCCACCGTTCAGGCCTACGGTAATCCGGGGGCCTGCTCTGGCCAGTGCTGGAGTCACGACCCTTCCGTTGTCCGTCGCGATGATGGCACCTATTTCCGTTTTGAAACTGGCAGCAAGATCGGCATTTGGAAGGCTCCCGATTTGGTAGGCCCCTGGACCTACCAAGGAGCTGCTTTGCCATCGGGTAGCAAGATCAACCTAAAGGGCAATGATGATCTTTGGGTATGTCCGGTCCAGCCTTCCTTGTCTCTCTTGCGTATCTTCACTTTTCTCGGCCTTCCAATTGAAGGGTTCGATCCTCCGTCATAGCCATCAATGGGCGGTTTTAGAATGAGACTGGACAAAACGTTTGCCTTTCAGAGTGCATACTTACTTACTTTGGTCTTGTCTTGGATAGGCTCCCGATGTGAACAAAGTTGGCGATCAGTACATTCTGTACTACACCGTCTCCTCTTTCGGCGTCCAGAACTCTGCCATCGGTTATGCTACCTCCACCACCATGGAGTTTGGCTCCTGGACTGACCACGGCGCCACCGGGGTTGCTTCTTCAGCCGGCAGCCGTTACAATGCCATCGATGCTCAGCTCGTCAAGTCCGGTAGCAACTACTTTCTGAATTTCGGCTCCTTTTGGCAGGACATTTTCCAAGTGCCTCTGAATGCGGCTGCGACCAAGGCCAACGGTAACCCATACAACATCGTTCTGAACACCACTGCCCCTCAGCCCGTCGAGGGTGCCTTCGTCTACGAGCGCAGCGGCACCTTCTGGGCCTTCTTCAGCTCAGGCTCCTGCTGCGGCCTCGACGCCAACCGCCCGACCCCCGGAAACGAGTACAAGATTTTCGTGTGTCGTGCCTCTTCTGTCAATGGTCCCTATACCGACAAGAGCGGCAAGAGCTGCCTGGGCGGCGGTGGCACTCTTCTTCTTCCTTCTCATAACAAAATCTATGCTCCTGGTGGCCAAGGCGTCTTGGTTGATCCCAAGCGTGGTGCGGTCCTCTACTATCACTATTGTGAGTAATCAATCCTGGCTTCAACGCCTATCAAGGCTAACTATCTCAGTGAATACCGACGTTGGCTATGCCGATTCTCAGACTCTTTTTGGCTGGAATGTCATTTCGTGGTCCGGCGGCTGGCCTTCTGTCTAGGTAGATACTAGATACGGAAGGAACTAACGGTCGCGGTAGACGAGTGATGTTACATTCTTGTTCATATTATAGCTCCGCATGTGCTAAGGGGCATGTACATACTTTGCGCCCCTGAATACCACTTTCATGCTTGATGGGAGTGTATGACGCTGGTTACTTATCAAACCCCCTCCTGTGTATCCCTACTTATTACCAATTGTTACGCTTGCCGATCCTGAACCTCACTGACCCAGAGTCAAGATGAATGACTAGCCCTTTTCTTTTGTCTCAAGGGGCGATTGCTTAGCGTTTCTTTCTTAGGGGGTGGCAAGGGTTGTACATAATGCCACCGGCCACCATTTGTTGATGGAGCCGAGGATGTCCATTGTTATATCATTTGTCACCTACAACAATTCGCCAACAATTTGATCGTGTTTACTATTTGCCTAACGATAAGCTGGGAGCATGACGTATTCTTTAGTATTACCTAAACAAGGTCCTCCTCCTCGTTTCAAAGCCTGCGAGTAGGAACTTGTTTCCCAACACGAAGGGGCCGAAGTACCACGGAACTTGATTTTATCGCACTCGACCTCAAGAGTTTATCTACGCAATAGTTTAGTAAGTAAAAATGACTAAAGCAGAGTTTATTTTCGATCAGCTTGTACGCGTCGTATTTAATATTAAACCAAACAACTAAGCAATGATTAATTACTGTCTCTGTATTCCTCAGTTCCAGTAGCACACTGTTGTACATTGAGTTTCCATTCAATGGGTGGGGCCTTTTGTGTGCTGCCAACGTCTTCCTTCAAGATTCAAAATACCCTTAAACCGGGAGGTGAGTATGCCCTGCCAGTGGACAACCACAAGGGATAGTGATCTATACTGGGGTAGACTTCTTGTCCTCGGCAGGCTTCTGCTTGTCCTCATCTCGATCTCCATCAGGGCCACGAGGAGGAGGGCCGGGAGGGAATGCGCCAGGGAAGCCAGGGGGATAGGCGCCGGGGAAACCGGGGCGGGGCTGGACCGGGGCGGGGAACGGGGCGGGAAAGCCCGGAGGTCCGGCCGGGGGAGGAGGAGGGCGTCTCTCACCATCGCCACCGCGACCACCGCGATCACCATCCCGGAAGCACTCACGGTCACCATCGCGGTCACCATCCCGTCCACCCCGATCACCGCCGTTGCGATCGCCATCGCGGTCTCCATTGCGGTCTCCATTACGATCCTCGCGAGCAATCTTGCGATCGTCGTCGCGGTCACCATCGCGTCCTCCTCCACGTCCTCCTCGCACACAACACGATCTTCCGTCTCTGTCACGTCCACGATCTTCTTCACGGCAGTCTCGGTCGCCGTCGCGATCTCCGTCACGTCCACCACGGTCACCACCGTTACGATCTCCGTCACGATCCCCGCCGTTGCGATCTCCGTCGCCATCGCCCTTCTTCTTGCCTTCTCCCTTCTTGTCGCCTTCAGCCTGTGGGGCGGGAGCAGAAGGAGGAGGAGGAGCGGCAGCTGGAATAGCTGGGGGAGCCTGTCGAGTCACAAATGCTGGCTGGCTTAGAGCGCTACGTCATTTTAGCTTCATATCCTAGGCCGACGAGTTCATTATCGCCACGCACCTTTGCTCGCGTGAGTCCATGCTAGACGGCGCGCCATTCGCACCCATAGTCGCGGCGACCATGATGATAAGAGATTTGGAGAAGCGCATTATGTAGCTGACAATATTACTAGACCAAGGTTTCTCAGTGATGTTTTTCTTGTGGTGTATATGTTGTTGGCAGTCGATTTTGCAAGTGAGAGATATTAGATGGAGAAAAGACCAAGGGCGAAATAAGAGTGATGGTGATGAATAGGAAAAGGAATCAATCGATAAAGGTCGAGGAGAACATCCTTTAAGTAGTCGTCTCTGCATACCTTCGATGGCTATGGTCCGTTGATTGACCAATTTCTTCACACTCTGTCTACTGCTTTTGTCCTTCCCCAATGGATCGCATCATTCCGGTGCTCCGTCTCCAATAGTTCGTTCCTCGAAGATGCTTAGCATGAGCAGTTCGTGTTGCCCAAAGTCTATCATGCTATCTGCCTCCTCAAAAGGCAATTCATGTAGAGGCTTTAACCAATGAGGTGAGTGTCAGGATGCACAGTCCGGTGGCGGAGACCGGTTGTTGGCACCGCCGCCCATCGTGATGTGCGCGGCTCGACAAGGCCTGGAAGCGGCTGGCAAAGAAGTCGAGGCAACCCTGATCAGATTCTCCAACGAGAACCGTCTGAACTTCTTTTCGTGTACGATTTTCAAAGTCGTTCTCCGAAGCAGAGCAGCTAACCCGGCAACTCCTTGCCTGCATCACCGGTCCACTCTATTAGCTGTTGGCGCGACTGGGATACTCGCTGCTTCAGTAGAAAACTTTCAAAATAATATCAGCTCCATTTCTCTTTAGTTGAATCAAGTGACTTCATGCTTGTTAATGCCCGTCGTACGCTGCCTTATGGCCAATTAAAGGAAAGCTGGTTCTCAAGACTTGGCGCAAACTTGAGTGATTATCTATTTCGCTACTCAGGTTAGATTTTGAATTACACTCTTACTACACTGGGATACCAGACTCTAGACTGGAAATACCTCACGTTGAGTGAAATTTACCAGTCAAGGAGGCTGACTTCATCGCATTAGCGCTCGCTGGTTGATGCCGCCTATTACACCTCTGGCGGCATAGGGGTAAATGTCAGCTGTCAGTCCAAACTTCGCAGATTTCCCCACCAGTTTCCTCCAAATATTGCGATCACCACCATCATCTTGAGGCGCATGCCGCAGCTTGGTCATGCCGCACACCATTTCACATACAGGCTTACTAGCTTATGAACGGTGGAAGGAAAACTCAACTCAAGACCGCGTTTGACTTGCTGCTCGATAGAATCCGACAGAACTTACCGATCCCACGACAGTCCTAACTGTCCAACGATAGGCCTGCTGCAGAGAAATTGGATGTGCTTACTTACGAAACTTCCAAGAGGTGTCCCGGCTTGCTGACCTTTCCCAGGGCTTCTCGTGCACCAACAAGACTTTCACATCGGGTTCATGCAATTCGTCCCATTTTTATCGATTCTTCTCAGCGTCAGCTATTTTTCAGGCGTCCGGGGCCAGTCTCTTCCATTCTTTTTCTGAGTGATGCTGACTGAGCTCTGAAGTCGTTGCTCAAAAGCTATCTGAGCATTCTTATTCATCCAAGTTGAAGTACCTTTGCACAGGATTGACAAGATGTGGTTGAGTGATGTGTCTTCCACCAACCAAGTCTAGCGTTAACGAGGCGTATAGAACGCGGTGGTTAAGCATGAGATCGACATGCAATGCAGCCTAGTCTCGGTGTGAATGGTGGGCAACAAACAACCATCTACAGCAAATAATACGTTCACGCCGGCATTTCCGGTCTGGCAGAATCATTACCATTGTTTTAGTGCCAGGTACCCGGAGTCACTACTAGACACGCCCCGTCTTCACCAGTCTAAATGGGCACTAGACGACCAGTGCGCATTTTTGGTTTTTTACTTGCTCTGTAGCCTCAAAAGCCATGCAAAAACGGGAAATGCACATCATCGAGGCAGGGTATGGGGGAACATTGCTAGCATGAGTTCGCATAATCTAATTTCCAGGTAAACAAACTGCTACGTGCAGGACTCGGGTCGGTAGCGTGTCATAAGTTGGATCTAAACCCTGGCTCGCATTCTGTTATGCCTGCTTGCCCGACGTTACCGTTAGGATGAGGTTTTCTATAGTCTTTATTGGTAGAGAATGAAGTTAGGAACTCCTGCTGTCCCTGGCTTCTCTCCGAGACATAGCTCAAATCATAACAGCGGCCCCAGATGGTTATGGATACACGGGCCGTTGTTCGACCATATTTAGTTACATCAAATTTATCGGAGAGCGTTTGTTTCCGTGTTTGTTTCATCCTTAATTAAACTTCAGTGCTGGAAAGTCCTACTGGAATGAAGGGCGAATGGCTGAGCGAACGTCAAAGCTTTCAGCTTCGACGGCATGGCGTCGCTCTCGTCTTTTGCATATGCTTTGACTCTTCGCCTCACTTTGTCAGTTCCGGCATAATGCATAAATCTCATCATCTTTCGACATTCCGTGCTTCTGAGATGAAGCCCGCTTTGACAGCTTTATTTTGCAACAACGTCAAACTTGCATCCCGTGGCCGTGTATATGCCCCACGCTCATACCAGCACCCAATGGATGGACTAGACACGTATGATTGATATGTACGTGACCTTTATCTCCATCTTCTGGGCAGCCACATTTTTTTACGGCTTAGGCTCTTAAGCGAGTAAGATTGACAGCATGCACGCTGGCGGTGCTTGCAAGTTGCATTGACAGCCCGCTCATGTTAAGAAAAGCAGTCTGCTGCACTCGCGAAATGGCCGAGATTTGGGTATTAAACTTTACTCACTATGATATGAAATATAACTTCCCAGCTGTCCTCAGCTGGTAGTCGCGAATTTTTGGCCAGAAAAGAGTCAAGACTACAATGGAAGTATACAACGGCTCTGGAGCGTTCTTAGACAGATAATCGCCATGAGAATCGTGGGGCAAGAGAGCATCATGCAAACTGTGGAACAACAGGGTTGGATCAAATGATATGAAATTATTCCGGCTCTCTGTTGGAACCGCCTGGATAGCCATATGCCCTGGGCTTAAGTAAAATGCAAGTACGATAGCCGACATACCTGTCATATCAGACATACAGCCCTTTTACCCGGACAACTGCCATCCAAGGACCGAGGTCTCAGACAACGGTTCATCATGATATTCAAAAACAAAGCAACAATCAGGTACAACCATTCAACTCAAGTGGCTGTCAATTTTCAAGATATGTTTGAGAGGCAAATTCGAAATACAACTGAAGGGGTGAGCTACCGTACCTTTTAAGCTACATAGCTGATTCAAAGGCTTGGACGACGATGCTAAATAATGATCAAAGACGTTCGAGGGATTTCATCAGAGGTACTGGAGCCTTCCAAGCTTCACCTCCTCGAAGTACACTTCCTACGCATTAGTGAACTTTCCTCCTGATCTCTCCATATCTACTGGAAGCTTGAGAAACAAACAGCCTGAAGTAGCAAAACACACATTTGTTACAAGACCAAAGACCCAGATGCGATACATAGTGTCTACGGCTGCGCCAGTCTAAATGTAAATATTCTGAAGGAGATGGCATCGAAGTAAGATTCTGATGGATATGGATTCAATACATTGTGCAATACTTTCAAGACGAAATGTTTTAGGCCTCTTTTAGATCCGAAGACCTCGCGTACATTAATAAGTTCAAGGATTCAAGATCTTGGTTGGATACACGGATACTTCGAATGGAGGTCATGGCAATGTCAGTTATGTAGCAGATGTTGTAACTCGAGTAGAAGGAGACCACGAACCACACTGTCTATGCGCTTGTTAATAGTCACGCAAAGCATATTGACAACGCAGCTCACTTTATGGCGTCGTTCCACGGACTTAGCGCCGTATAAGCTTCGCAAGGCACTGAAGACATCACCCTCCTCTTAGATCCAAGTTAGCTGGCGATACATCAACGACAACGCTGAATGCTTGGCTCCATTGTAGCAACGCAGTGTTTTGCATTCCTGGACATTTGAAATCTTCGATTAGCAATTAATTAAGGCTAATGAAGTAAGGTCTTGGAAGAACAAGCAGTTGAGCAGAAAGATGAATATTTGGACAACGAATCCGAGTCTGCATTCGCTAAGCTGGCTAACCCAGTATGCGAGTCAGCATTGATATGCGTAAGCCCTCAATATGTCAACGGGACATCAGCGAGACATGTTCACGACTATAGGACTTATTATTGTCCCATCTGTCGAGACAAAGATTTCTCAAGATTTTGAGATGTAGATGTAATGTCGTTTCTTCTTTGGAGCCCCATGCTGCCATATGATCCCCCCCCCTTTTCCACTTTGCAAGCTATTCTCCACAGACTGTGCCGGGAACTGCGCCGCAAGCCTTCCTGAAACGTCGTGATCCTTCCAGTTTGCCGGCTTTCCATAATGTAAATGAAGGACTTCGCTGTTTTCCGACACTCAGAGACTTCCTTATCTAATCCATGCGAGGGGGGCCGGCATATCCGTTTTGCCCGTTTGGCTCAGGACTGTCAAGCCGCTTGGTTATGTTGCGTGCTAAATGAATGAGCTGCCTGAGCTGGAAGTCGGAGTCATTCGTCCCATTGTTAAGCTGTGCGCCGACCAGGCCAATTGTCTTACACATGCTGATGAGGGTCTCACGCGCTAACTTGGAGGCAGTCTCTGGAGACTGTTGACGGTACTGTTGCCCTCGTCTGTCGTCGATCGTTGAGAAGGACTCAGGCTCGCGAAGAACTGTTAAAATGGACGGAATACCCGTGATAGTTGGACTACCAGGGTCTCTTTGGTTGCGAGAAGCAGTGGTAGGACTTTCTGACATCTTGCAGTGTTGAGTCAAACGAACGTGGTAATCGTCTCGTGATTGTGTTGCTTCTGAATGGCTTCTTGGAGGTAAGTCAGTAATCGATGCGACGCATAGAAAGCAGCCAAAGCTGCCGGCTAGGATTATTACTTGCCTGTGGTGGTATGATGAGGTACCTGCCTGAGCCGAGTACTGAAGGCGCAGCTGTGTTGAGGCCAGAGAGAGTTTTGGAAAACGATGAGAATGATCTCGCCACACCACTTGGGATGGAGATGAAAGAAATAGAACAGCTGGTGGCGGGACATTTGGTCACAAGGTCAGGCTCCGTTCAGAGTTTCGCGTCTGTCTCCTCATCAAACATCGTCTGATGTTGACAGAAATTCATTCCGCGTGTAGCCGCCTCATCGACGCTTCTCTGGTTCCAATTAAGGTTCTGAGCGTAAAACGAAAGCATTCATGTCTGTTATTAGAACATGGAGAAGTAGCCTAAACGTTCGACGCAGAGCATGATTCGCAGGTAAGTGTTCACTCATGGAGGCTGATAGGTGACTGCTTCCTGGTCCATCTAGCAACATTTGGTCACATTGTCAGATTTAAGAGAAGCCTACCCTGTATTTGCATGGCACAGCGAGGCACGATGCGAAATACTCGCGAGGAAAGGAGACTTTCTGCTCCACGGCGGTTGGACTGCGGGGAGACGCCAGGATCCCGGCTTGCGGGCGCCCACAACTGCCGGCGTCAGGTGGGGTCAGAGAGCGGCGCTCGGCTCTCGAGTCAGTACAGGCTCTTGTAATCTTTGTGCCTGTTTGGCCATACGTAAGTACCCGTCCTTCCAGCCGATTCTACTGTAAAGAGGACCAAAGCTAACGAGATGAACGCTTGGGTATGTGGTGTGACATGCTTGGTCTTTGCTCATGATTTGGGTCCAGTCATGATGGACGTATGGTGACTACAGACCGGACTCCAAATGCACGATGTATATCGCGACTGTCACGACATTTTATTTGAACTCATGATGTAGTTGATCATGCCACAATTAGCTATCCGATAACATAGCCATCTATTATCATAGGCATTGGCGTAAGTACAAGTCTTCTGAAAAAGAGGCCAATACCTTCTTGTCCATCACAATCCTCATGAACTATCTGAGTTATATGATTACAGAGGGACACATTCGCCGCGTTTGACAGAAAGGAACCTGGTCGCGTACTAGCGTCTCGTGGCAGTGCATGACAAGCAAGGGTTGTGAGCAACATTCCACAGGTGGTACCAAGTTTTTGCCGTGCCAAGATTTCCATATATTGATGCTTATCTGCTACTTGAGCTAGTGATTCTGCTTCGTGACGTCTCTTTCTTGTTCTTCACCTCTAAGACTGTTTCTTTGACGACGGCTTTGGGTATCTTCTATCGCCAATCAATACATAATTCTCTTCACCTCGCTGTTGTTTTCTACAAGACATAACTGGTTCCCTTGGAATATCCTCCTATAGATGGCGGACAATCACAGCATCAGCTCTTCGGCATTGCCTGCTCAAGGTGTCGTGGAGCACAGCCATGAATCAACCCCGCTTCTCCCAACGAATGCGTTTCGTGTCGCACACCGCTCAATCTCAAGACGCATTGCACATGAAGGCGAAAGTGGACGCAGCGGGTTCCACATCAGTCACTTCCTCTGTGTGCTTTGGCGAAGCTCATGTACTGCCTCAATGTTGGTCAACGTACTCTGGCCCATTGTACCGATTGCCGTCGTGTTGCAGCTCTTGCCTGGGTTGCATCTTTCCAAGTTTGCGACTGCCTATGTGGCTGTCGTGCCGTCAGCGAATCTTCTTGGGTTTGCCGGACAAGAATTCGCCCGGAAGATGCCCAAGGTGGCTGGTATATTAATCGAGACGACATTTGGATCCATTGTCGAGATCATTCTCTTCCTTGTGCTCATCCTGAAGCACGAGATATCCGCGCCTCAAGAGAGCGGTGATGAAAACAATCTCATCCCTATCATCCAAGCCGCAATTCTCGGGAGTATCTTGACGAACTTATTACTTTGTCTGGGTTTGTGCTTTTTTTTCGGAGGGATCCGCCATGAGAGTCAAAAGTTTCATGCCATTGTGTCCGAGGTTGGCACCGGACTACTTTTAGTTGCTGCCTTCGGACTTTTAATCCCCAGTGCCTTCTACTCTGCCCTCAAGTCCGAGACAGTTTCCAATCTCCCTGGAATATGGGTGAGGCACGAGGATTTCACCGTGGGAACTCTTCAGGCCGATGTCCTTCGCATTAGTCAGGCAACCTCAATTGCTCTCATTGTTGCCTTTCTACTTTACGTCTGGTATCAGGCCAACAGCCAACACAGTATCTTTGACGAGGTCATTGAGACAGACGAGCAACGCGACGCTGATCGCGAAGCGGATATGGAGAAGCCCAAGTTCACCTTGACCGAATCTATAATCGCTCTGCTCATATCACTGGTGCTAGTGACGCTTCTTCTGATCTTCCTTGTCCGAGGCATTGAACATGTCGTTCATAGCGGTGTTCCGGACCAATTCTTAGGACTTATTTTGCTTCCTTTGGTGGAGAAAGCAGCGGAGCATTTGACAGCTATTGATGAAGCTTGGGGTGAGTAACAACGTTCAGGTAGGACAGTCAGGAATCATACTGCATAAGACTGACAGCCACATACAGATGGGGTCATCAACGTCGCACTCTATCATTGCCTGGCTCCTTCCATCCAGACGGCTCTCTTCAATGGGCCATTGGTCGTTTTGGTTGGATGGGCTCTGGGGAAACCAATGGATCTCAACTTTGAGATATTCATGATAGCTCTTCTCGTCCTATCGATTCTCGTCGTGGGAAATTTTCTGCGGGATGGAGAATCAAACTGGCTCGAAGGTGCTTTGCTTGTAGTAAGTTTACTCCCCAGGTGAACAGTGAGCGATCGCTAAAAACTTTTGAGGTTGTGTATACAATCATTGCCATCGCATGCTGGTATTATCCCAACCCTGACGTAGCAACATCCAATGGTATGGATGCTGTCAATGTCACAATCAGCATCGAGGCACTTCAAGAACTCCAACAGCTGCTGCGGAAAAGCCAAGGACTTCGAATTAAAGTCTCGTGAGGATTGACGAAAGAGCCCACCTGCATTTACTAGCAGTGGAAACACTATAGAAGGTTTGGCGTTGACCTTGGCATCATGTTAAACTAGCTTACGGAAGTTTTGCTACAAATGCATGTCTTTTTCAGCAAGTGGTGGATATGAGTGACGTGACAGCCAGGCACAATTTTAGAGGCGAGCTTACGCTTTTGGCCATTCATTTCTACAAATTCATTGTGATTAAAAGCCAGTTAAGTACTGACTAATGGTTCCGGCGCACATGGTTGTCTGTAGGCTCATATGGGTCTCCGAACGTGCTCTGAATGCTCCATGTAATAAACTTGTGCTAAGCTAAACATCCTCCGAATCGAACGAAACACTTCCCAGGTACATGTCGTGAAGGAACGCCCAGCTCCAGTCGTCGGCACATGTACTTCCCAGTAATGCGGATTGGTCCTCGCTTGTAACATGCGTGGGCACCAAAGTCAATGGTGGAGGTTGCATGTGGTCCTCGGCGCCTAACACTTTCTCGATGGCCGGTGTAGGTCGTTGGTTTTGCGACTCTGAAGCCGTTGGAGGAGAACCTTCGAGTAGCGTCGTAGGCACGCTGAGCCGGGCGGAAACATCCTGTTGTGTGGTTTTTTCTTGAGTCGGGTTTTCGAGGCGCATCTGGTTGAGATCTCGTTTAGAATAGCCGTCCCTGATGATCGAGCTATTGCTGACCATTCTGTCGGAATTTTCCACCCATTCTTCCAGCCCTCCAGTATTACCTCCCATGCGGACACCAAGCTTCCCACCCATTGGCAGCTGAGGTGAAGTATGATGCCTGAGATTATGATGGTGGTCTTGGACCATAGCTGAAAAGTACTGATCCACTTCAGCAGATCTTGTGACGAACGCTGCTGCCACTCCGGATTTCTTTGCCATGTTTTTCAGGGCGTCAAGCATGATGGCAGTGTTACCATTGCACGTACTATTCGACACAGTCCCGGAATCCTGGCTGAACAGCTCTAGGTTACCGGACAAGGAGCCCCGAGCATCCATGTGCGGAAAGTATTTAGCATAGATGGCCACGAATGACGCTGTATAGATAACAAATGCGACGAGAGGCGAGTGCGGAAGGCTTCCACCCGACAAGCGGATCAAAGAAACAACAGTCTCTGCTGCTCCGAATACTTCGCTAGCACTCTCCTCCCAGAATCCAAAAGGGACCGCGTTTTGCGGAAATGTTGGCTCGTCTAGTGGACCGCTCGGCTTCTGGCAGTTGATGGGAACGAATGGAAGATACTGGCGATGAATCATTATCGTACAGAGGGAATACAGGAGGTGTAAGAGGACGAAAGTGCTTGAACTGTTCTCGTGGCGGAAGTAGTTAACAGTGTTCATCCTTAAAAACATTCCCGGGCTATCGAGCCCTTGACCGAAAGTCTCCAATTCTCGCCGCAGTTTATAAAACGAAGAAGCATGACTCCATGGCGGGACACTCTTCTCCAAAAAACGACCTCCCGCGTTCGTGTACTGGGAAATTCGACCCCATATGTCTGTCAGCTGAACAAAACACCCGAGAAGACTGCATTCACGGAGCGTCTCAGGTTCGGACAGATTTCTGGAGAGTAATGGTTGTTGATTTTGACGGCTCAAATCAAAGTCTTCTTTGGCACATGGCAGATGAACGTGCATATCTTCGGAGCGTATGAAGAAGGGTCTCTCTTTGCCGCAGGAAATGAGACGATCGAAGATAAAACAACTGAACATCGTTCTGCGTCTGATCTCTAGTTCATCACTTGCCTCTTCGCATGTAGAATTTGGCTTGCTTTCGTGTCCGAGCCCGAGTGCTTGCGCCATGCGCCCCGCTGATCCAATGAGCATCCAGGCTGAAAGGCCTTCGTGGTGTGGCGAGATCCATTCATAAAGCGCAAGCATGAGGAGGGCCTGGACGCGTTCAACCGATCCAATAGATGTTGCCTTTAGGAAAGAGCCAAGCGAATTGTCCAACAGCCTCGCAAATGAGTCAGAAGTAGCGTGACCTTCCAGCTGATCGTGAGATGTGTTCTCGTCGTAGCGGGAGTCGGGTTCGACGTCTAGCATGAGCTCTGTGAGCGGTAGTAGGTCTGGATGATATCTTCCTGCCAATGCCAAGATCCCGAGAAGGACCAGACTTGTATCAAAAGACACCTGGTCTTGCCCAGTGGTTAAGTCATAAATTGTTCTTTTGATTGTCGGCCCGTGAATGAATGGGAGTTCAACCGCAAAATGCTGTTGAAAAGTAGCCAGTATCTTATCCCAACGCCCTCTGTCGACGCACCGAATAGCCTGTAAGACCTCGTGGCAATTGCTTCTTGGCACCTTGGTCTTGCCGGCCCTTCGTAGTCGTTTCCGCCCAGAGCCCGTGACGCTGGCGTCTTGCTTGTCGTCAAACGGGGACATGGGCCTTTTAGGTGGCAACGGAACTGGAGCGGGCCAGGAACAATTGCTACCACTCTTCTTGCAGTTCTCGCAGGGAGAATCCAGATGGCCAGTGTTGTCGCATTTAATCTTAGATCGTCTGCATCTCACGCAAGCAATGCTTGATCGTATTCGCATTGTCGCCACCATGTTCGTCGCCTGGGGTCAGACTCCCGACCTCGTTAGGCTGCTGAGTCGATTTCAGTCAGCTGTTAGGCGCAGGATAAAGTCCAAATCAAACGCAGCCCGTTTATGCAAGAGGTTCATAAGTGGGCACAGCGTAGTCAAGTTTGCTGGTTGACTGAGTGGGCAGAAGAAGAGATTGAGAAGTTGGTGAGCAGTTCAACCTGGGTGGCAGGCTTCACCCTTGCGAAGTGATGAGCACAGCCACATGTTTTAATCCATTAGTAATATCGCACATACTTTGGCCACACTTCAGCCAGTGCGTCGGTTTCTACTGCGCCAGGGCAAATTCGGCTATTTACGGAATGCTAAGTATACTAAAAAATTATTAAATCAACTAACCTATAGCCACCCTCTTTTTTTAAACTCCTTTATAAAATATCTTAAAACTTTAAATACAGCTAATAACCAAAGTTATATAATTAAAAACCCTTTTAATAAAATAATTTTCTAGGGCCGTACTATATATTATATATAAAAGAAAACTAAGTATAATACCGTCTATATTTAATAACTAATTAAAACTCTTAACTTTCTATTACTTATCTAAACAACAAGCTTAATATATATAAAACCTCTTGATATTAGTTTATATCAATAACTAAGTCCTTTCAGGGTCTAGCCCGCCTTATTATGGGCTATTTTAACTTTTATAAATAAGTTAGTTTATTAAAATATGTTATCATAAATAGTGAAGGATTAAAAAAAGCCTTAGCTCTACTAGGGCTTTATTGTCAAGTTTTTAAAAGTGATAATAAATATAATAGTTCTTAATGTATTAATATACGTTTGTTATTAAACTAAGCTATTAATATTATTATTTAATTATTTAAATTACTTTTTATACTATAAATAAATAAAAAGCTTTTGTTTATAAACTTTACGGATTATTATAAATAAGTTTTCTTTTCAAAAATAATAAACTTATTATTTGTTTTAATGTTCTGCCTTTGCGTACTGCTCGGGCGATTCTCGATATCGTTTACACAGTATGATCACACAGTATCAGTGGATACTCTCACTGTCTCAATAGACTAAAAACTCTTTATAATAATAATACTAAACTTATCTTTTTAATATTTATTTATAGCCCGGCCTTTTATAATTGATTTAGTACTTTTATAACGTTCTTATAATATTAAAAGGGGTTGTTTAAAAAGATTAGGATATTATTTATATATATTATATCAAAGTTATTTAAGTACTTTATTAATATATTATTTATATATTTCTTATATATAGTAGTTTTTTTCCGACTTTATAAATATAAAAAGTCGACCTTAACGGGATTAGGTTTCTAAAAAAAGGTTTATAATATAATATACTTTTTAACTATATAATATATATTATATACCCTAAATACGTACTTAATTAAATATAATAATTTTAATATAAAAACTACTATATAATTTAAGATAAATACTTTCTTTTATGTAGTAGTGATAATTAAAAAAGTTAATTATAAAGGTCGATTATTAAGGTTATAAGCGGCCTTTAATTATTAAAGTTCTATACTTTAATATTAATATAAAGGCTTCTCCCTTTAGGGTCTAGCCCGCTTTATTAAAGGCCATCTTTACCTTTATAAATAAGTTAATTTATTAAAAAAAATATTATATATTACTAAGTAAGGACCTTTATAACTAACTATAACTAGCTATAGCCGTTACTAACTACGCTAATATAGCTTAAATTATTATTAATAATTTAATATATTAATTACTTTTCAAATAGCTAAATACTACTCTTTACTTTGTCCCTTTATTTTATTTAATAATAACCTCTCTTTAATACTCCTATTTCATAAGCTTATTTACGGTCTTTTTAGGCTCTTAATTATGTTATGAAATTTAAGTTTAATTATATTACTTTATTATATTAATAAAGCACTAATAAAGTAATATTTACTATAATATATTTATCTATTGCTTATAAGTTAATATTATAAATATAACATTTATGAAAAACGATCTCTCTATATATTAAAGTTATTTGATATAATATTTATATACTTAAACCTCTAGTTTTTAAAGAAGCCCTAAGGGTTAATAAGTTATTAACGTTGTAATGTTTTAATAATATATATTTAAATAAATAAATCATTCGATATTGATAGTAATAAATAGTAAAAGAAATAATGGTTTTAACTTTAATAGAAAAACGAAGTAATAAATATATATATATAAGTTAAAGTTAAACGCATCTTATAAAGGGCAATTTTTTTAATAATAATAACGAGGGTATTTTTGATATTATGATTATAAACTACTATTATTTAAAAAGGCCGTAAACTTAGTTAAATAAGTATAGGCTTATAAAGTAATAGCGTCGTACACTAATGTTATTATTAATTATTTTATAAATATAAACCTTATAAAAAGTGAAGTTAAAAAAGT